CTTGGTTCTTATAATCCCATAACTCCACCGCGACCCGAAACAAGCCTATTGTTTTGTGTACCGTGTTACTGTGCTCCTGGCCACACTAAAATGGAATCGTCTGACCTACTTATTTTCTTGGAAGTAGACAGTTACACAACAGTTTGAAATGGCGGACGAGCCAGTGTTTACATTTTCGCGAAGGTTGAAATTCGAGTGACAGTGGAAAATGCTTGACTGACTGTGGAACCTGAACCCTGCAGAATCGAAGAATACATCCTTTTCTGATCAACCTATGAACTGTAACTCATCAAAGACTGTTGATTTTTATGATCGTGAGAGTGTCGATCATGATTTCAACATCGTGCCTCCACCCGGCATCGCGACGAAAGAGTGACAGTGCTGCTTTGTGTACATGTGACTAACTTGGGATTCCTTGGAACATTGTTCTCATCATTTAGGACTGGATTTTGGCCAAGCTTTTTAAAGTGTACGAAAGTGTACAGCCGTCGCGAGGGAAGGTGGCAGAGGGGCGGAATTCGTGGTTAAATTTTTTGACATTTGAAGGATGCAGCGGGACATGATGGAGTATGAGTGGCATACGTTTTTGTTTAAGCCTGACCGTTATCTTGCGAATTTCCCATTCTAAAAAGCGAGAAACAAATATACCATTTACCAGGTAGGTAAATGTTCTGAAACGTTTTGCCGCACAAATAGGGATAGATAGGGATGTTTTTACAAGGTTTTCTGATTTATATGTTAGATATTGTTTGGAGCTGTGTATTGAAATTGAGTTTGAATATTTTTATAATAGAAGATAATAATTATGATAGTGAGGTTCCCTAATAATTGTGGAGGAGAAATCGTATAAATGTATTTTTCGAGTTTTAATAAATGTTTCATCAGCATTTCCATCACGTCTGTTGTGTTGATATTAGTCATGTTGGTGGCCAAGCTGAAGTAGTGCGACAGTGTTGTATACGTGCGCAGTAAAGCGCCGTGAAATTTGGCGCATTTTCAATCCAAATTGATACCGTCTGATTTTATTGATTGACCAATCAAATTCGAGCATTTCATGTAGCCATGGTAGAATGTTTTATGTTTGCAGAAGTTAAGGCTACATGTTTTTTCTCCTGCTAGAGCACCTCTCCCTTGGTGGAGCCTGTTTTATTTGCCGTCTAGTGGCAATGTATTATTTTGTGTTTGCAGCAGTTAAGCCTACATGTTTTTCTTCTTCTATAACACTTCTCCCTTGGTGGTGTTTTATTTACCGTGTAGTGGCAGTGTAAATTTTGTGTGTTTGCGGAAGTCAAAGCTAAGTGTTTTCTTCTGCTAGTCTACATTTTTAATTTATGTCACTGGCATATTATTTTAGGTTCTATAAGTTAGCTATGGTTTCTCTTCTACTCACCTTGTTTATTTTGACAATATTCTTATGGCCTTGTGAAATATGCTTGTTTTCATGCTTAAGCTTATCCTATGGTAATGTACAATGTCAGCATAGTTGTGGGCTCTGTAACTTTACGTATGATGCCTTAGAGTCATTTGTGATCTGTTACAGAACGTCATTCTATACTAGGCACATTAAGAAACTGTGCATACAAAAATTTAAAATCTAAATTTATCAAACCTGTGTAGACACATAAGGATTTAAACTCAGAGATTAGTGACATGTATCCAACATGCTTGCACGTGCCACGTTCCGTGACGTCAGTGGGTTCATCCTTGAGACGTGCAATACGTTGTTGCACGTGCGTTCCAGGAAAGAGAAACAGAGCAAATGAATGCCACACAATACTGTCACTTTGGAAAGCTCAACCCCTGCCCGAGTCATCCCAGGACTTCGCCGTATCCACCCCAACACAGTTTGACAACGTTTACGTCATCACGGGATCAGACAACGACGTCCCGCCATACAGCCTATCCTGACACAACGTCATCGACAAGCTCGCCGAATGTGGTGCCGAAATCATGTCCGCAGACCCTTGTTTTGGTGGAGAAATGTTGTTTTTACAGATGAGTCCAGGTTTAACATTTCCCATAGTGATGGTCGTCAACGTGCCTATAGACGCGTGGGAGAACGTTATGCACAGGCCTGTGTCTTGGAGAGGAATCGCTTTGGTGGTGGTTCCGTGATGATTTGGGGTGGAATAACAGCACGCCAAAGAACTCCTTTGGTTATTGTTCAGGGCAACTTAACTGGTGTGGGCTACAGGGATCAGATTCTTCGACCTGTGGCAATTCCTTTTCTGCAATGTCATGGCCCTGGGTTAACATTCCAACAGGACAATGCCCGCCCTCATACAGCAAGGGTTGCTATGGATTTCTTGCAACACCACAATGTTTACTTACTGCCTTGGCCTGCAAATTCACCGGATCTCTCCCTATAGAGCATGTTTGGGGCCGAGATGGATCGGCGTCACGCCGTCTTCCTCATCCGCCAGATAACGTCCTTGACCTTGCAACAGAACTTAAGAGAATCTGGCGTGACATCCCACAAGCCTTCCTTGCACGTTTGACAGGCTCTATGCGTCGTCGATGCACTGCTGTTCTCAATGCCGATGCTGGACATACCCGTTATTGAGCTTGTGACATGGTCGTTTGACCCCTGTCCCGCTTGTGGACTCGTGACGTCATTTTGATTGACTTTTCAATTGAAATTCTCCCGACTTGTTATGGTCTCATGATCCCTCCATTAAAGTTTATATGTACCTTTGTCATTGTTATCGTACTTATCAACTGGGATGATATTTTGACAATGCACAGTTTCTTTATGTGGCTAGTATATATCCAGCTCAACTTTAATGTCTTTCTAGGGTACATTACTTCACCGCGATTGTATGGATTTAACACTCATTTAGATATGCTGTCTGGTGCTGGTATTTAAGTAAGGCCGGAAATGCTTGGAAACTGATTTTGGCAATTACTTGATAGTGGTTGATATTTGAGATTCAAAACTCATATATAATCATTCATACCACCGCGACCTAATATGGCATATGAGTAATCACAATTTACTATTCCCTAATCATAATGATTACTCGTAAAATATCGGAAAACTTAGAAAGATTTCCATGGTAGAAACACTTCTAAGAAACAAACTATACTGTGACCCACCTGGCAGGCAGCCAGGGTGACACTGTTATGTAACGCACGGGCAGTACATGTCAGGGACTGTCTCAAAATATCAAATCTCAGTATCACTGCTAGTTGAGGACTCTAGCGGAATAACAACAGGTGCAACTCGGCTGACGTTAACGCCGTCCCGCAGACAGTATTCGTCCTCGATTTTGAGAACACGGTCTTCAGCCTTTCTCAACCCTTCTGGGGTAATTATCGCAAAAGAAGCATACACACGCTCTTTAACGTCTGAAAGCGTGAATGGGGTATTATTGCGGGCAATAAAATTCTTACAGTTACCCCAGGTCAGCTCGATGGGATTGAGCTCACAGTGACGTACTGGTGTACGCAGAACTAAGTGGCCTTTTTTTCAGCTAGTTCGTCAGTCATGTACTGGATTGGCTTTTTGTGCTGCCGGATTTTTTCCAGGAGCTGGGGCTTTGTTTCTGATTGCCTGTAAGGCACGTTACAGGAAGTGAGAAAATCCTGCAACTGAGCCTTGAGATTGCTCATGGTGGGTGTGATGGTACCAGGGACATGCAGGTTATGGTAACTGCCGTTATCCAAACTGATAACGCTTGGTTCGTCCAGCTGCGGTAAAAGCTGATGATCGAACCAATCCAAAAATACCTGCCCATTCATTTCGCTATGGTAATCACCATCAGATTTCTTGGCCTCAAAAACAAAGTCACAACCCCCAATAAGTCCCTTGCTACAGGTACCAGCATGTAAGATGATCAGGCGTCTACCTTTGCCTGATGGTAACACTGGTGTCTTAGAACAATCTGAAGGAAGTCACAACCGATTGGTTGAGTGATTTATATTACACCAGGTTTCATCAAGATATATAATATGAAACCCCAAATTGCGGCATTATTCAACTGATCTGAGATAAGCCGATCGCATGGACAGGATTGAGTACTTTTCTCTAAACACAGCTCTGTCATCTCCCCATTTGTTGTACCTGAACCCCATTTCTACCAGAGCTACAATAAGTGTTGTTTTCGAGACATTTATTGTATCTTTGATCTCATCTTGTATTTTAGCACATGTCGGTGGGATTTTGCGTTCATACAGTTTATAAACTGCACGGTGTATGACACCCTTATCAAAGCTATCCAGTTTGTGTTTCCTACCTGGTTTTGATTTTGACACGACCCCTGAGGTAACTATTTTGTTTACAACTCTGTAAAACTGACTATATGTCGAAATTAAGGGCTTTACACAATCTATAGTAAACCCAGTCATATCCGACGAGAGGTTTCCCCCTTTGTTTCTCTGGTATGAAATACTGGTATAAATTTGAAATTAATTGTTCTGCAGAGATATCAAGTCGCATGTTGCCAGTTCAATGCTCATACACGAAGTGAAACTTCTATGGGTGAACAAGATTATCTATGTGCTTTGAATAAAGACTTTTTTACGTAATCATTGTGAATATAACTACTGCAAGAGTTCCATCTTTTTCACATATAGATGTTAAAAAAACAACAAACTTTTTACAATAATTTATGTAATTTAATTAGTTGAGGCTCTTTGAATAATTATAGTATTTCAAAACTACAGTTTGTACATAGAATATTTGCGAATGTTGTTAAAACGTCCACATTTCTCTCCTGTGAAGTCACCCCTCGAGTGCATTTTTTCATCTGAGCTTTAATATCCAACTAGGTAGAGTCGTACATGTATCATATATTTGCTTTTATCTTGTGTCAAATTCATCATATTTATATTGAAGCCAAAAAGCATTTTCCAAGCATTTCTGGGCTTCCTTTAATATAACGTGCAACATACCTTTAAGGGAATAAGCTTCTACAAAATGTAGGCCTATATATTATTGGTGTATTTTGATAAAGGTAGCAATAACACATATCTGCTGGTATATTTAGTTTTGTTCCCAGGTCACTTCTGGTCACAGGATGCCTCGTTCCCGCAGGAGCCGAAAACGTCCCACCCAGCCACAGAACAGCACAGGTGACGACGTTGATTCCGGCCAGCAGGATGAGCTCACAAGTGTCAGTTTGTCTAAGAAACCCAAACATCATCAACGTCGGGGTGAGCTGGATGACATGAATGTCACACCTGGAAGTGCCGAGCATCCTGCAGAAGATACTAGTTCAGCAACTAACAATGACAACACCACTGCTGTACAGGGTGAGGATGTACCTTAATCCTTTTGTGGGGCAACAGCCTATGTCCACTAACATAAACAAGGCTGAAATTCAAGGGTTTAAATCTACTTCCATACCTTTAGGCATCGAGGTAGGAGACAAGCTTAAAGCAAAACTTTGTCGCAATGAATTCGTTCAAATGTCCTGACTACTGTCAAGGGAGGCTTCCGATCATAGTCTCATAATTAGTATATCTAGTGTCAATCTCTTAGTTTCTCTAATCCAGGCAAGAATATGTTTCTGTCTTGACAAGTGGGTCTCCGCATTCCACATATTCATGTCAGTTTACATTCAGAAATATCCCGAGGATGTTCAGGCTATGTTAAAGCACATTAACACAATCAGCGATCTTGTCCAGAAAGGGGACAACTGGTATGCTTACGACAAGGGTTTCATAAGTTGAGGACTGCAAACAAATTAGTTTAGGGAACATTACACTGGGAATTATGGTTTAGTGCAATCACTGCAAAGCTGCATACTTTTCATCCCATTAATCAAAGACAGTTTAGAGTAAAAGTTGTTGTCCAATATGGAAGTGCCAAGCAGTTTCCGTCACGGGCGGGAATGCAATGCCATATCTTGCAGATCAGCCTGCCCCCAATGCGGAAGTAGCCAGAGCTTCAGTAAATGCTTGCTAAAGAAAGACATCTGCTATTAGCAGACAAAATCATTCCAACCAATCTCCCAACCCCAATAAACGCTGATGAACTGGGTCAGTGGCTTGAGGGATATGACAAGGATACTATTAATTACATCCTTGAGGGCTTTAGGTCTGGCTTTTGCATTGGTTATGGTGGCCATTTCAAATCAAGAGATGCTCCTAACTTAAAAAGTGCAACTGATAAGGCTGATAAGGCTGAAGTTGTTCAAAACAAAATAAATAAGGAAATGAGACTTGGTAGGGTCCCCCTTATGTATATGTCCAAAGAAAGTTCCTGGTCGGTTTAGAATTATCAATCACTTATCTTATCCTTATGGTAGTTTGATCAATGATGGTATACCTAACGAAGCTAGTAAGGTATGTTATGCATCGTTAGATGAAGCAACTGCCATTATTGTTAGACTGGGCCAATAATCCTACATGGCAAAGTGTGACATTGAATCAGCTTTCAGAATCATACCCGTTCACCCTGATGATTATCATTTACTAGGCTTCAGTTGGAATACAGAATATTTCTTTGAGAAGTGCTTGCCAATGGGTTGTTCGTTGGCATGCAAAAGTTTTTAGACATTTAGCTCGGCATTGAAGTGGATTGCAGTTAACGAGCGAGGTATTGGCAACATGCTACATATTTTAGATGACTTTCTCATTATGTCTCGTGCCAAGGACATTTGTCTAAACAAATAGGAAAAGGGTGGTTAGACTCAGTGAACTACAGTCCTTATGGGTTATCTTAATTTCACTTGTAAGGTAGTAGTACCAGGCAGGGCATTTTTGAGAAGACTGTACGATCTTACGCTTGGTGTAAAGAAACCCTATCATAGGACAAGGTAGAGTAAACAGACCAAGGAGGACCTAAAGTTATGGTTACAATTTCTGAGTCAGCATAATGGGATCCCTATGTTACGGAAACAAGTGTGGTTGTCTAATAGATCTCTACATCTCTTCACTGATGCTGTGGCGTCATTAGGGTTTGGAATAGTATTTAAGAGTAAGTGGGCATTTGGTGTCAGGCCAGATAACTGGAAATCATTGAACATAGCTATCTTGGAATTCTTTCCAATCGTGTTGGTGGTTAAATTGTGGGCTGAAGAGCTATGAGGGAAATGTATTCTCTTTCATACAGACAACATCGCATTAGTTTCTGTCATTAACAAGCAAACATCTAGGGACATCAAAGTTTTGTCTTTGGTGAGGGTCCTAGTAGTGCTGTCCTGTGTGGAATGGGATATCAATTTTAATTCAGAACATATACCTGGTAGATACAACAAGTCTGCAGACCTGCTTTCTCGTTTTCTGATATCAAAATTTCTCAACCAGGCACCTTGGGCAGACAAGGATGGAATGCCGATTCCTCCACCCCTACAACCCAGCAACTTTCAATTCACTGAGGTACCTTATTGGGGGTGGCACTACGCAAAAGTAGTCAGTCTACCTACACCAGGGCTTGGGATTGCACAGGGAATTCTCCTGAGATTGCTTTGACATTTTTCCATTGCTATTGATAGCATCGCTTAACTCGTCACTATTCGTGGCATACATGTTTCATTTGCAACTTTCACCTTTAGCTATGAGAACCTACATTTTAGTGTTGGGTTACATTCATAAAATTCGTGGTTTGGGCGACATGTCTAACTCATTTCAAGTACAGAAACTACTGCAGGGACTAAGTGTTTAAAGAATTCTGTTGACCAGCGTTTACCAGCCACGGAGAACATACTTGGTAAATTGGTGGACGCTTTACCTGTTGTATTTTCTGACCCCTCAATCAGATTACTTTACGACACAATGTTTTAGGTTGCTTTTTACGGATTTTTTCATACTGGTGAACTGACAGTGCGAAGTTCGGAAAAAGGGGCGGCCTTGTACATATCCTTTTCATTTCAAATAAAATATGTTTAAACCATATGCATGACATATTTTTAACAATAAAAAAGTAAAATCACAACCTGTGTAATTACTCCCTTGTTCCTTTTCAACATTATTGACAAATCTTCACTTTATGATGAAATACAGGAATCACACATATCCCAAAGTCAGCTGAATTCAATGTTCTGGTGATTTCGACGATTGCATTGCTAACGCTATATCTGGGGAGTACTGCGCAGTCGGAGTGCACCAGCAGTTTCATCGGTAGGGCAGATGCCCAGTCACTGTCGTGAGAAGTTATATTGGCAATGAAAATCCAGAAGTTAAACATCAATATTACCACTTCAGATGCAAAATCAATTCCCTAAAGAACACAAAATAGCAAGTGTCTGCTAGTGACAGGCAAGATATAAATAGGAATCCATGTGATCACAACACTCCCCTGCAGTGCAGAGCACAAAGAACGGCTCATCGTCGAAAACACATACAAAATCCCCAGATGTGGAGAGCAACAACAGTTTTGCCGATGTGATGTCATCAACGCTATTTTTATAGGAAACACTTGATATTTTTGTGTGATATAGATGAATATATCCTTTAGCACTCAAGGTTAGTAAAATGAAAACTTTAAATTATAGTTAAGATAAAAATTCCGTTTTTGCCTTAGTTCCTCGAAAACCCCTGACACCGGGATATATGAACCTGAGCCGTGAATAAAAAGTGCTATGGTATTACACCTAGGGCAGCACATATGGATGCAAAATAATAGACAACTGCAACATTTAAGCAGAAATATTTCAAACAATGTCCTCCCAATATATCCTACAAACTGGACTCAAGGGTGTACATATAATGTTATGTGAACAAAGGCAAAGAAACTATCAGCGCCCAATTCACTGACTCAAAAAAGGTTTCTGGCCTAGGAGGTGATCCTTGCCCTCTTTTCAATATTTCAGTGGTGAGAAGTAAGCTGTGTTCCAGGTCAGAGGGAGGCAGCACCATGATTTGTGGTAAGTTGACATCAGAGACCATATATATGATCTCTGTTGACATATTCCATGTTGTGTATGTGAATATTTAACCTGTGCTCATATTCCAAGTTGTATATGTGAATATTTAGGTTGTACACTTCTTGCGGGTATCCCACACACACCACCCAAGCCTCGTAACAGAGACAGAATGTCTGCTACTTGGTTGGCGCGCAGGAAACTAATTCAGCATGCGATCAACAATCTATACTTTCCAGTTGACAGGAAAAGCATGTACATCTTTATATGTATGACTGTACATAATTTGTGTACAGGAATGGGTGAACTAGAATACCTATCTGCAAACATATACCTTCCAACAGAAAGGAAAAACATGTACATCTTCATATACTATTGTATGATGGCATTATCTATGTACACGACTGTCGGAACCTAGAATACTTATTTGTAGCCCATACCTTCCAAATGAAAGGCAAAACATGTATATCTTTATACATATGACTCTACTATCTATATGCACGACTGGATGAACTAAGAATACCTATCTGTAAACATATACCTCTCCACCCATATTACATGATAATGAAACTTATGATGATCCGGAATCAATAGCAAATATTTTAAATAACTTCTTTGTCAGTCAGTCCACTGTTCCAGATCCAGACTGTCCCCTCCCTCCCCCAACCTCCTCCAGCCAACAGCCCCATGACAACAGAAAGTACCGGTAGATTAGATTGTATTAAATTATCACAGCGCGATGTCTAAGACATATTACTCTCCTTAAACAATAACAAAGAATCCGGCCCAGATGGAATTAGAAATACCTAATTCAAACTAAGTGCTAGTCTCCCTTTCTGAGATTTTTAATAAGTCGCTTCACGGAGCTGTATTCCCTAAGATATGGAAAAAAGCATCAATAATTCCCTTGCATAAGAAGGGTTCAGTAAATGAATGTGGCAACTACAGGCCTGTCTCCCTTCCAGCTGTGGATTGTCTATGCAAGCCTTGTATCACATCCCGCCTTGATTACTGTAACTCGCTGCTTTACGGAACATCAAGCTCAAACATCAAACTCCTACAGCATCTACAGAACAGCTCTACTCGTCTCATCACGGGTTCCAGGAAGCATTGTGAAATCACACCAATCCTGCAGGAGCTACATTGTCTTCCTGTACAGCAATTACAATTACAGAATTAGTGGTAAATTGATAGAATGGCTAGGTAGTTATCTAAATGAGTTCAGAAGGTACTTATAAATGGATATAACTCTGAATTTAATCCTGTGTTGGCAGATGTTCCTCAGGGTTCAGTTTTAGGACCTTTGCTATTCTTAATATACATTAATGACCTCGATGATAATATTGATTGTAACATACGTATTTTTGCTGATGACACATCATTGTATGTAATATTAGAAGATCCTATTTCAACAGCAAACAATCTCACTGAAAGAATTACATGGAATATCAATGTGGGCAAATAAATGGCAGGTGAAGTTCAATCCCGAGAAAATGGAAACAATTCAATTTAGCAGAAAATGGATTGCTAGTCCTAAACCCCAGTTATTCATGCAAGGGATTTCTATAAATGAAGTTGAAGAACAAACACTTAGGTCTTATATTTCAAAAGGATGCAAACTGGGCTGCTCAAATTAATAGTATTGTAGATAGAGTTACTCCTATGATGAATTACTTGAGAAGTTTGAAATACTGTTTATCATGTAGATCACTTCAGATTATGTATCAGTTGTTTATATTACCGCTAATTGATTATTGTAGTCATGTTTCGAATAACTGCAAAGAACACCAATCTAGAAAAATTACAACTAGATGCATTAAGGACAATCTGCGAGGCAACAAGAGGTACAAGCCATGACATATGCAGAAACTAATTTCATATCCCTTATTGAGAGAAGACGTGTACAAAAATTAACCTTCTTCCACAAAATGATAAACGGCAAAGCACCAGATTATTTATGTAATCTTGTCCCAGATGGGCGTTTTGGACAGTATTTCATACAAATTGAGAAATTTGCCAAATTTACAAAATATTCGCTTAAAACAACTCTTTATTCAAAATCATTTTTACCAAGTACAGTAGATCTTTGGAATGCATTACCAAATGACATTAAAATGATACAATCTCAAAAACATTTACTGAAAAAGTAACCCCCCAGTCAGGATATTCATTTGGATTTGATCTGAATTATCGAAGTCGATTTTGTCAAATTATTCATTGTAGGCTTCTTCTTGGCTGTAGTGATCTAAATTTTCATAAATTTGAAAGACATATCTCAAACGATCCTTCCTGTTCGTGCTGCGCTTATCGTGAACATACACAATACTATCTACTTGCTTGTCCAAACTATGCTGTGTTAAGAAAGGATGCGGTATATTACAAAAATGGGTACAGCTTAAAGACAATTCTATATGGAAATAGTGAAATATCTGACCTTGATAACCTAGTTATCTGAAAATCTGTTTACCTCTTCATCACTGCTACTTGTAAATTTGGTACTAAATATGGTTGAAGAATTGTTAGCTTTAAGAAACATATCGGTTGTTATAATGAAATTGCTATTGAAATATTAATTAACATCTGACTGTACATTAACCTTGTGGTTTGTCATGTGATTACTGGTATCTTGTATGATAATTTTGGTTTCTTTACCTTTGTAAATTGTATTGGAGCGGCATTAATATAAGCTTGTAGCTTGTTTTCCAATCCATTTGTTTCACAAATAAATATGTTTAAACCATCTACCTTCCAATAGAAAGGAAAAACATATACATCCTTATATATATATATATATGACTATTATCTATGTGCATAACTTGCAGAACTTAGAATACCTATCCAAAACCCATACTTTCCAATCGAGAGGAAAAACACATGTTTCATACATAAGCCGATCCCCCGCGATGGGGTCCTAATCGCGGCAACCACAGACCACAGACAACTGGCAGTTACCAATAATTATAACCGGCTTTGGTTCACATTATTCAAAGAATTCATAATCATATATATTGTGTCTACTCACGCATCAAAACAAAGTGTAGTTGACAGAAAATGGATAATATATTTTGTTTCGCTAAATATCATACTTATTGTAGCTGGATAATCACATGTTAACAAACTGGCTTGCTTATTTTACCCATTCAACAATCACAAACTGATTACCGCCTCGTTTTCCATGGACTACTTGTTTACAGTAACATCGATCGGTAAAAATGTGTGAATTTAAATGGCTTGCTTATTTTACCCCATTCCATGTGCGTACAACTTTCGCTTACCACGTTCATGAGGGTCCGTATAACCTTAGTGTTGATTATATATATTTTACATTTATAGAGCGAAAACTGTAATTAAAATTACACAATGCTAAGATATATTTCTTTGGGTTAAATAATAGTACTCTGTATTATATTTTACTGATTGAGTCAGAAATTGTCTCGTTATATATTATTGTGCATGTTTGAACTTGTTCGCTGGGAAACGTGTGCACAGCTGATTGCTATTTATGGCTCAAATACACACGGTAATCTTAATCTTAATTAATTTATAGAGCAAAAGCTGTAATTAAAATTACACAATGCTAGGATATATTTCTTTGGGCTAAATAATAGTACTCTGTTTTATATTTTACCGATGACTTCATTAGAATTCGTCCCGTTATATTATTGTGCATGTTTGAACTTGATCGCCGGGAAACGTGTCCACAGCTGATTGCTATTTCCGGCTCAAATACACACGGTAATTTAACCTTAATCCCTGCAAATAATACAATGCCCAGCAAAAACAATTTAGAACTTAAAAGGTAAATAATCTTGTCTAGCGATGTTTAACTGCAAATTTGACGTCTTTACTGACAAAGGCGTCTTCTGTTGTTTGTTCACGCGAAGTGATACGGTGTTGTTTTCTTACCCCTGGAAAAAAGTTTCACAAAAGCGTAACCCATAGATAAGCCGACCCCCTTCTACAAACTGCTTTTTTTGGTCCTCAAAATTCGGCTTATCTATGGTACGTCTTTATAGCTATGAATGTATTATCTATGTGCTCGACTGGATGAACTTAGAATACATATTTGCAACCCATACCTTCCAAGTGATAGAAAAAACATGTATGTCTTTACATATACGACTGTTATCTATGTGCAGGACTGGATGTAAAAGACTGTATTATCTATGTGCAGGACTGGATGTAAAAGACTGTATTATCTATGTGCAGGACTGGATGTAAAAGACTGTATTATATATGTTGTAGAGTGGGTGCAATAATGGAAATATAAACAATATGGATTTGGATTTGATTCCATTTCTGCATGTCAGGTAGTAAAGTCACATCTGTTGACCTTAAACACACATTTCATTTATTTGACCCTGTAAACAAAATCCACCCCATTTGCCATTGCTACATTTTGGAAACTCACTAAGGTAATTATTTGTATACAACTTTTGTACTCAGAAATGCAAGTGCATAGTTCTTAAGCAACAACGAAGTTCCGTTCATATCCCCAAAACAGCAACAAACTTTCTGTTCTTTAAGCAACTAAACTGCATACAATAGAACAATTATTACTCCCTTGTTGTAATCCATGTTTTGTGGTATAAACCTACACCTCAGTATATGATGAAACTCGATGACAATTGGTGAATTCTTAACAAAACTTTACACCAAATCGCAGCTGTTCACATGCACGATATTTGCACGTTTTTCAGCAATTTGATGCATGATCCTCATGCAATTCATCTGCATAAGGTTTGTAGTTGGTTCCCCACGTTAGTGGAAAAATTCATCTTCGATGTAACCACAAATATATACATAACATATAGTGAGTACTTTAAGTGAGTCTAAACTTTTGATGGGTAGTATGTATTCGCCCAAGTAGTAACTTTTACATTTTTTCAAATATTTTTCTTTCTTTGTAATGTTGCATGGAATATAAACATTGATAAATTCTGAATTATTAAAATGTTTGTACTTGTTAGTAATGATATAAATTTAATAATGTTTGGATATCTATAAAAATGATTTGGTAAATATTTTCTTCTAAGATCTGATGTCTGCACATAAATATCCTAAGTCTTTGAGTCATTACATGATAAAATTAGGGTAGCACCTAACATTTTGGTCATACCATGTGTTACCAAAGGCCAGTTTTAAACAGCAACGTTTTTATATTCGTTACCCACTTATTTGTTTCCATTATTGTCATAAACTATCATCATATTGTAACACATTTTGGGAAATCTATGCGCAGACATGTTCAACAATCTTAACCAGTATTTAATAGCCTTTACATGAGAAGTTTTGTTGTATTTTTGTCTACACTTAGCTTCTAATTATCACAATAATTCTCTAAATTCATCGATTTGTCTCTGTAGACCATTAACAGTACTGGAAAATAATATGATATCATCTGCAAAAAAAAGCATAAACAGCTGCATGATATCAGGATGTAGTTGGATGCCATGATTGCAATTTTCATGAATTTGAGTTGCTAATTCATTTATGAAGAAACTAAACAGAAAAGAACTTAAAATATGGCCCTGTCTTACTCCTAACTGGCTTGTAAACGTTTCTAAAACATCGTTATTATTTCTTACTCATACCTTTACATTTTCATAAATATTACTCTAACCATGCATTCATAAAAGATTCCATTGTTTGTTTCTATTTATCAAGTCAAATGTTTTCGGGAAATCTCCAAAAAGAGCATAAAAGTTACCATCTAATTGTAATTGACATATATGAATAGAGATGAACAGAAAATGTATGAACATTTCATTACATGTTATTCATGACAACATGATGATATCATATGAATAAATGATATACATACATATGTCAGTGAGGTTGTGTTCCCTTTCTGAATTGAAATACTTAACTGGGTTCGTCCATTTCTCTATCAAGGGTAACAGCTTTCTCGATTGCTGTGCATGAGACTGTAAATGTTGTTGTTTTAAGCTGTCTGAAGAATGACTGTCTGAAGAATGGGAGATAACCATATGTCATCATTCACTTGATGGTCAGTTAATGATTTATAACAGGCATAATTAGTAGTAACACCACTCTGACATTACCTGACAAAGCTTCCTATTTGGCATTTTTCGTGTCTGGGGTAATTACACAAGTACATATAGTCAGGTCTGATGTGGCAAATTTATTATGTGTTATATAATCTGCAGGTGGAAATGCAACAAGAGTGGAATTATCAGATGAGAAAAACATTGATGAGATGAATAATTGGTAATACACTGTGTTATCTAACAGAATGGTTTTGTCATAAGTTAGTATTCATATCTGCATGTTTATTTACACAGACAGAAATCACCGATCTCCTTTCATAAAGTGTTTGTGTAACAATGTCGTTTGTTTAACCATCTGTTGATTGCTCATTGTTGTCTTACTGGATGATTTTTTTCAAAGATTTGTGGACATTATGAAAATACTATCTCAGCTGACCAATGAGACTGTATGCCAGTGCAAAAACCTGTAACACAGTTACGAGACCAGTTGAGAAACTATCACAAGTTATACATATTGTACAATATTATGGTAGATTGTTAAAAGACATGCGGTATGGAGAACATTTCTTTGTCAACTGGAGGTGGATGGGGTATTGTTCCTTTATGTCATTATTTATGGGTACATTCCTCGAACAAGGTAACTGCCGGAGATATATTAGTTGTAATTTACCACATTTATTTTAACAGAATTATTCTAATTATTTTCACATTATTATTTAAGTATTATGAAGTACTTTTATATTATGGTCATTTCACAGATTCACAAGGGTGGTGGGGTTGCCTAGTGGTTAAAGTACTCGCACCGAAGGCTCAGGTTCCCCACATGGGTACCGGTACAATGTATGAAGCCCATTTCTGGTGTCTGCTGCCGTGATATTGTTGGAATATTGCTAAAAGTGACATAAAACCGTACTCAGTCAGTCACAAATTCACTGCAAAAAGAAATCTACTAACAATTTTTATGATGTTCAAAAGTGCATAAAAGCATTAAATTAGATCAATTATGCTAGGATTATATGTCTAAAATATCAAGTACACTGAATTCTGTTTACTTTTAAACCGAACACTTTTAGTCACTTGAGGATGAAATTAAACTTCAAAATGGTTTAAATTGTTATAATAATAAACTTGATGACCATGTGTTGCAACCAGTTAGTAAAATAACTGAAACATTAATTGGTCACAAACATTTCCCAATTAATGCTAAGACGAAACTGTATTTTATCTTTGTTGATCAATGTGAGGATATGCCCTAAAGCCATGAATTGTGGTTACAGGTTTTGTAGCAGAGTAAAAGCAATAACAAAAGCTCATGTTCATCTGGCCTGTGAAGAGATTCCTAGGGGCAGACATATTGATCTGGGCTTTGCACTGATTCCCAGGGGCAAACATGTTCATCTGGGCTGTGAACAGGTTCCTAGTGGCAGCAGACATGTTCATCTGGGCTGTGAAGAGATTCCTAGGGGCAGGCATATTGATCTAGGATGTGCACATATTCCCAGGGGCAGACATGTTCATCTGGTCTGTGAACAGATTCCTAGGGGCAGACATATTGATCTGGGCTTTGCACTGATTCCCAGGGGCTGACATGTTCATCTGGGCTGTGAACAGGTTCCTAGTGGCAGACATGTTCATCTGGGCTGTGAAGAGATTCCTAGGGGCAGACATATTGATCTAGGATGTGCACATATTCCCAGGGGCAGACATGTTCATCTGGGCTGTGAAGAGATTCCTAGGGGCAGGCATATTGATCTAGGATGTGCACATATTCCCAGGGGCAGACATGTTCATCTGGGCTGTGAACAGATTCCTAGGGGCAGGCATATTGATCTAGGATGTGCACATATTCCCAGGGGCAGACATGTTCATCTGGTCTGTGAACAGATTCCTAGGGGCAGACATATTGATCTAGGATGTGCACATATTCCCAGGGGCAGACATGTTCATCTGGGCTGTGAAGAGATTCCTAGGGGCAGGCATATTGATCTAGGATGTGCACATATTCCCAGGGGCAGACATGTTCATCTGGGCTGTGAAGAGATTCCTAGGGGCAGACATATTGATCTAGGATCGGCACATATTCCCAGGGGCAGACATGTTCATCTGGTCTGTGAACAGATTCCTAGGGGCAGACATGTTCATCTGGGATTTGCACTGATTCGCAGGGGCAGACATGTTCATCTGGGCTGTGAACAGATTCCTAGTGGCAGACATGTTTATCTGGGCTGTGAACAGATCCCAGGGGCAGACATATTTATCTGGGCTGTGCACAAATTCCCAGGGGCTGACATGTTCATCTCAGCTGTGCACAACTTCATGTAATATGACAGTTATATTTCTCCCCTGTTTCAAACAGCACAATTTATTGCTTAAAATGCAAGCACCTAAGGTACAAAAGATCCCTTATAATCATAATTATCATTACATATAATCTCATATATGGCCATATAAGGAGTTCTTGTCTAAGAATTATGTCCTTAGAACTACTAGAATGAATAAGAACCAATCTAAACTCTTCAAAAAAAGAAACGCAAAAGGTCCAAAGTCTGCAAAGGTTAAGTCCACGGTCACTAGGTGAAGTTTAACGTCACTCAACGTCAATAACGAGTATGCCCCGCGTGAGCATCGATAACTGCTTGGCATCTCCTGCCCATGGAAGCGATGAGATGACAAATCATGTTCTGTGGAATGGCTGTCCACTCAGCCTGCAAAGCTGCTGCAAGCTGAGGTAGAGTCCACGGTTGAGGTTGTCTCCGTCGCCGACGTCCGTCCAACTCGTCCCAAAGATGTTCGATGGGGTTTAAATCTGGTGATCTGGAGGGACAGGGAAGAACGTTGATGTTGTGGTTTCTCAAGAAGGCAGTGGTGAGTCGGGCTGTGTGAGGACGGGCGTTGTCCTGCTGAAAAACGTTGTTGACATTCACCATGATGGGTTGCACATGGGGCCTAAGAATCTTGTCGACGTATCGTTGAGCCGTAAGATTCTCTCGAATGTGCAGGCGATGGTAGCCCACATCATGACACTATCACCACCAAATCTGTCAACTTCCTGCACACAGAACTGCAAAACGTTCACCTCGCTGACGGTAAACACGGGTCCTTCCATCCTGCCTACGAAGCATAAAACGTGATTCATCGCTGAACCAAACTTGCATCCATCTTAGATGAGGCCATACCCGATGTGCCCAAGACCACTGCAGACGTGCTTGACGATGTTGCTGGGTGAGGATGACGCCTCTGACCGGACGTCATGGTCGGATTCCTGCATCTTGTAGACGGTTGCGTACGGTCTGATCGGAAATCCAACGCGGCCCTGGTATGGTTGAGGCAGTAGACGTTGCAGTGGTGGTCCTATCCCGAGGGTGACGTAACCGGATGTAGCGATCTTGTGCGGGCGTGGTCACACGAGGTCTGCCGGATCTGGGACGGTCATGAGTTGATCCATGTTGTTGGTGACGATTCTATAGGCTTGTGATGTTGCTTGGGTGGACATTCACAGCTCTGGCAACATCTAATCGAGATTCACCTGCTTCCAAGCGACCAATGGCATTGTCTGTGGCATAACACTGAGCAATGGAAACCGAACACCCGTCACTTTTATAGGGATTATTCGCTCATGTTGCACGTGCAGAACATGAAGATCTCTCGAACAAATTTATTGGACACGAATGCGTTTTGGCGAAAGATTCGATGTTTTCATCACATACTATGAGCCTTTAAAGTCATTACATATATTTCTCTTTAAAATTAAAAAGTATCCCTTTTGCGTTTCTTTGAGTATATATGCAGGTCAACCTTTACTTAACATATGTGTTATATCTGTTATGTTCAATTGCATGTTTTACGTACATATACAAACTTACAACCTACATGAAGCTGATCATTCTGCATATTACTCCGATACATGACATCTTCACTTAACAAACTTCACTGTCATAACACTCCCACTATGTTTAGATTCTGACTCAGAGGATGATGGCTACACCTGCATGGAACTACCAACCCTCATCAGGCAGCTTAAATCTGTGCTGGACCAGTACCCTGATGATGGACAGATACTCAAGGTGAGTCTGTGTTGGACCAGTACCCTGATGATGGACAGATACTCAAGGTGAGTCTGTGTTGGATCAGTACCCTGATGATGGACAGATACTCAAGGTGAGTCTGTGCTGGACCAGTACCCTGATGATGGACAGATACTCAAGGTGAGTCTGTGCTGGACCAGTACCCTGATGATGGACAGATACTCAAGGTGAGTCTGTGTTGGACCAGTACCCTGATGATGGACAGATACTCAAGGTGAGTCTGTGTTGGACCAGTACCCTGATGATGGACAGCTACTCAAGGTGAGTCTGTGTTGGACCAGTACCCTGATGATGGACAGATATTAAAGGTGAGTCTGTGCTGGACCAGCACCCTGATGATGGGCAGACACTCAAGGTGAGTCTGTGTTGGACCAGTACCCTATTGATTGACAGATACTCAAGGTGAGTCTGTGTTGGACCAGTACTCTGATGATTGACAGATACTCAAGGTGAGTCTGTGTTGGACCAGTACCCTGATGATGGACAGATGCTCAAGGTGAGTCTGTGTTGGACCAGTACCCTGATGATGGACAGATATTCAAGGTGAGTCTGTGCTGGACCAGCACCCTGATGATGGACAGACACTCAAGGTGAGTCTGTGTTGGACCAGTACCCTGATGATTGACAGATACTCAAGGTGAGTCTGTGTTGGACCAGTACCCTGATGATGGACAGATACTCAAGGTGAGTCTGTGCTGGACCAGTACTGTGATGATGGACAGACACTCAAGTGGAGTCTGTTTTGGACCCGTACTCTGATGGACAGATACTCAAGGTGAGTCTGTGCTGGACCAGTACTCTGATGATGGACAGATGTTCAAGGTAGGTCTGTGTTGGACCAGTACCCTTATATGGTAGGAAAAATAGTCAATACTGGTTTGGGCATTCCTAACGCTTTTGTCTTCAACAGGAGCTGATCCAGAATGCTGAAGATGCAGGTGCCACTGAGATGCGAATTCTGTATGACGCACGAGATATCCAGCCAGATGTTGATCCAAGGCTCCGCAAGAAGATGCAGTACCTGGCCTCATTACAGGTTTCTATAGGCCATTTTCTTAACAAACAAAATGTCTGACCCCATTATTTTTACACCTGAACTGATGCATGACAAAATATATCAGAATATATCTGCTAACATATCAGCTTATTAAACATAATGAAATCGATTTCAGAGTGTACCTAATGCAGTAAAACTCATGCTAACCCATCTGTTTGCAAAGCCACAGTCTACAGTAGTTCTACTGGTAATGCCAGCGTATTTGTTAGTCATTAAAATGTTATTTTGAAATTGTCTTAAGGGTGTTGAGTAAGCTTGGCTCATTTGTAAAAAACAACTGTTTCATAAAAGCGTCATTCCAAAGGCCCAGATTTGATTCCCCACATAGGTACAATGTGTGAAGCCTATTTCTTGTGTCCTTGGACGAGATTTTGCTGGAACATGGCTAAAAGCGGCATAAAACCTGTGTATGTGAACTGCTGCATAATGTGCCAAGCCATGTTTCAGGCCCCAAATGTTCATAAGTAATGTACTATGCCATGTTTCAGGTCCCAGATGTTCATAAGTAATGTACTATGCCATGTTTCAGGCCCCAAATGTTCATAAGTAATGTACTATGCCATGTTTCAGGCCCCAAATGTTCATAAGTAATGTACTATGCCATATTTCAGGTCCCAGATGTTCATAAGTAATGTACTATGCCATGTTTCAGGCCCCAAATGTTCATAAGTAATGTACTATGCCATATTTCAGGTCCCAAATGTTCATAAGTAATGTACTATGCCATATTTCAGATCCCAGATGTTCATAAGTAATGTACTATGCCATATTTCAGGTCCCAGATATTCATAAGTAATGTACTATGCCATATTCTAATTCCCAAATGTTCATAAGCAATGTATTGTGCTAGCTGTTTTTCAGGCCCCAAATGTTCACACTTAATGTAATGATATGTTCAGGCCCCAAATGTTCACAAGTAATGTACTGTGCTGAGTTTCAGGCCCCAAATGTTCACAAGTAATGTACTGTACTGTGTTTCAGGCCCAAATGTTCACAAGTAATGTACTGTACTGTGTTTCAGGCCCAAATGTTCACAAGTAATGTACGTACTGTACTGTGTTTCAGGTTCCAAATGTTCACAAGTAATGTACTGTGCTGAGTTTCAGGCCCCAAATGTTCACAAGTACTGTACTGTGCTGTGTTTCAGGTCCCAAATGTTCACAAGTACTCTACTGTGCTGAGTTTCAGGACCCAAATGTTCACAAGTACTGTACCGTACTGTGTTTCAGGTCCCAAATGTTCACAAGTGAAACCGGAACTGTTTCATCATTAGAACAGACACGGTGGTGTTCGCTTTATGGCCGTTTATTTCTGATAGTTCATGTAAAAATCCCTGAAACAATTAAAACATTCTTTAGACAAAACATAAAGGTATGCTGATATATGATATCAATCATTCATATCATGTTTAAATATAACCATTTACAAAATATCATTATTGCTAACATATTTCATATACATTGTCTCAACACTTCATTGATAACACATTCCATGCATAAATGCATAAAACATAATAAACCCACCAAGTATGTGGACCTGGGTTTAATCAGTACACCGACAGCTGCACCAGCACTACGCCTACATCTGCACGAATAAATGAAACATATCTACACACTGTGCAGACTAATCAAATATAAAACAAATACATTTAGGTATTGTTGATTAATGAGAGACATTTAAAATATACATAATGGAAAAACCCTGCTTCATTCTTACATTCACATATTATGCATTCATACATTTATACATTACACATTCATACATTTACACATTACACATTCATACATTTACACATTACACATTCATACATTTACACATTACACATTCATACATTTACACATTACACATTCATACATTTACACATTACACATTCATTTACACATTCATACGACAGCTGTATAGTACTTAAAGAATACGTTTTACACTGATATATATAACTTACTGAATTATTGAATTATTGACAAAGCAGACAAATTATCAAAGCATAAACACAAAAACTGTACACATCACATGAATATGTACAATCTACAAACAGTATGGAAATAGACTAACCTTCAGAAATGATCTCAAGAGCTCCTATAAATGTCCAAATAATTCAAAATGTGTGAGATCCAAAATCCACAAATGCCTTGTGACCAGTTGACAGAAATGTTCTGAACTGATAATAAACTCAAACCTTAAAACAGGGGACAGTAAGCTAACAAGGTTTGTGACAAAGGGACAGTAAGTGGTGCGCTTGGGCAGGCTATTGTGTGGCAGCGCTCTTGGTGATTGTGGCTGAGGCAGAAAACTCATGCAGTAAGCTGATAGAGGGGTTAAGAGAAGCTGAAGAGTGAAGTATATAATGTTTAAAATACACTAAAATGAATATTTAATTCAGTTAAAACTATAGAATAAAAACACTAAATATATACAAACATTTCATCCTGTCACACAAGTAATGTACTGTACTGTGTTTTAAGCCCCAAATGTTCACAAGTACTCTACTGTGCTGTGTTTCAGGCCCCAAATGTTCACAAGTACTGTACTGTGCTGTGTTTCAGGCTCCAAATGTTCACAAGTAATCCACTGTGCTGTGTTTCAGGCCCAAATGTTCACAAGTAATCTACTGTGCTGTGTTTTAAGCCCGAAATGTTCACAAGTACTCTACTGTGCTGTGTTTCAGGCCCCAGCCCTATGTGTGTACAACAATGCCTTGTTCACAGAAAAGGACTGGTGTGGAATCAAGATGTTACACAGCAGTATAAAGGAAGAGGAACCACTCAAAGTTGGACGCTTTGGGTTAGGGTTTAAGTCCGTGTTCCATGTAACAGGTGAGTCTGCCATATGTAGCTCCTTGTCTTCATAAAAGCAATATTAACTGATAGAAGTATACACAAAATGTGTTTGTGATTTGAGTGTCATGTAGCAGCCTACGAACTTCTGATGGAATCAGCTTCAACTTGTGGCAGACATTCCTACTCCATTTTGTTAAAGTGATTTTGAGTTTGTTCATATCAAACATCACCTTGTGCAATCACTTTAATCCAGCCAAAATACCAATAATAATACAGGGCTGCCATCCTAAAATGTTTGCAACGAGTGAAATTTTCAAAAATCTAGGGTTCAGAGACTGCAGGTCCTAGTCAGGTCTTGGACGTTGTCCTGGCATGTGGTCTAGGAGGTGGAGCAGAAAGAGGATCTGGCACTTTTTGAACAGTTTTGGAGACCAGAGAATAGAGATAATTATTCACATTTAAGGGATACTTTTAATGTAGAATAAACATTTTTTTAAAGAAATCACAATGACATGCTCATTTCAGATTCCTAACAGTGGACTTGAAATGAGGAGTAACAATCAATAATGCACAAAAGCAGTGTATGAAATAAGCCAAAACCCAGCCAGACATCAGGGCTTCAAAAGTGTTACCAGCCCAAAATGAATTTAACCAGGCCAGACACCATGATTTATGAAACATCTAACTTTTTTACCAGACCATCGGGTTGGTAAGCTGTAAATTTAGACCGTGATTATCAAAATGCGTGACAGTTGGCGGTAATGAGTAATAACAGTCACCTTAAAAATCTACAGTAAACTATGGTTATAGTCCTATATGTCAAAGGGGAGTAAAGGGCTACTATACCTTGGATGCCTATAAGAACAACACAACACAATATCAGGGGCAACTTACCTGCTAGCTAAATAACTGCAAGAAACAACTACCGTTGCCATTGCGATTAGCAGGTATCTTTGTTTGCCTCAGGCAACCTTCGGTGCTTAGCAAGAGAAAAGGACTTTGTAAATGAAGACGTCAAATTTGCAATTAAACAATGCTAGACCAGATTATTTGTCATTTTAGTTTTAATTTTGTTTTACCTGCCATTGTATTTATATGCAGGGATTACGATTACCATGTGTATTTATTTTTCCTTATACTGACTCATGCTATATTGCTTATCTCCCTTCTCCTTTCGACGGTCATGGGGGGAACTTGATTCCCAAACTCCTTGAAGAGAACGTAAAATCACTTATCTGTGAGTTGCCACCCTTTTCCTGCCTAAAGCATCCCATGTGTCTTGAGCCAAGAGCCATTTTCTTGGGCAGTCACTGTGGGTCCCTTTTGCCGCCAATATCCTTCTTATTTTGGCCTTCCAATCCAAATTAAGGCCGTGAATTGTATTTACATCCTTTATTTAATCATAGCGATGTATTGAATTATGTGAGTTTCTACTACTTTTCGTATTTTTCACACTCCATTTCAGTTGACTGTCTACACATGGTAGCATGTAAACCAATGCAGGCTACGTATGTCAGCAGCTGATCCACACCCTGTGTGTTCTTCAATAATTCATGTTCCTTAATTTCACGTAAATATTTTGCACATTTATCCCAATTTCAATTTAAAAATGTTTGTTATCACGTTTACGCACGGACATGGAGAATAAGAGGCGCGACAGCAGGGTAGCTGCTGATAAGGGTGGCTCACAAGTATCTGAATGCGAGTGATTCCCTCTGGGGTCTCTCTCATCTCTGTCGCTCTTACAGAGACAGCTACACGGCTGAACTACAAAGGCTGGTTATTACAGGGATGAGAATTTTCCGCGGATCCGTGGAATTCCGGGAGTTTCATAAGGCCAAGGGTAATTTTTGTGAATCGTCTAAATCCGTTGCCCCCAGACCCCTGGGTAGTTTTCAGAGTTTTTCTCAAAACTTCATTCTCATCCCTGATTTAAGAAGAAGAGATCATCTGCGTTGTCTAAGAAGTTGTCTACGTCGAATACGACGTCATTACATCATTCATCCAGGTCTTCTAGATCAACGAAGTCTCTGAGTGAAGTTACATTGTTCAAGAATGCCTTGACAGCATTAGATGATATAGATGCATCACCACTGGTTCTCGAACCGCAGACTGCTGTGAATACTTCACAGAAGACGACGACAACCGACGCTTCAGGGTTTGCAAACCCTGGTTCACAGAAACAACCATCAGCTGTTCCAGAAGAACAGCATTTGCGATTGCTACCAAATCTCAAGGGCAACATACTCCATCCTTTAAAGTGAGGAAATTTCCCCTACACAACATGGAACCTTTCAGGGTGCCCGACATAGATGACGACTTCCATCTCCTCAGGGACTACAAGGACCTTCTTTGGGTTGACTAGATCCCAGGCCATCAATGAAGCCTTGATCAACACTTTCCAGAACCCTAAGACAGAGACTGAAAGAATAATCTTATCAGCACTCGTCACACAAAAGAAGGTTCAGGAATTTATGTCTGATCACCTTGCTTCTACATCGGCATCAAGGACTCCTCTTGACCTGTAACTGGCCAGATTATTACACGAAGACCATAAATCTATCCTCGGTGTTTGTCTATAACTTCAAAGTCTCCTAAATAAGTGGTTATAGTGTCAAATCGTGTCACACAGAGACTACTTAACATGGTTCTGACATCGTCACTAGCCATGGTGCCACTCTACCATCCACATCAACATTCAGGCTACCATCCACATCAATATGGTCAATGTTTAATGAACACATCATTGTAATTTCATCTCTATGTAATTGTTTTCTTGATAACCGATGATAACCCTCCTGCTCCCTTCTTCCCTTGTCTCGTTGCACTGTCCAAATGTCTGATCCTTTCACAGATATGACTGCCGACTATGATCTCTTGGTCATTAATCCTGCATTTATTTATCCCAAGAAATCGATCAGATCTGATGATGTCAAAAGGTCGGGTACTATCTGACGTTGCTGATAGTATACCAACGGAGAGACAGCCAGCTTAATTATCCCTCTTTGTAAGGCCGCAATCTGTTATGGCCCTTTTAATAGCCATAGGACCTCGCAAATTTATTGCCAACCATAAGATTTACACTTTATCACCAGCAATCAATTCATAAGCATATACATAATGGCCTTTAGTGGAGGGTGTAGCTGTACACTGCCGGAATGAGGTAATTTTGAGTTCATTATGATTGCTTATGAGAAGGAGCAAACAGACTGTGACTCCAAGGATCAAATGTTGATTAGATCCATGCAGACTATACAATTCTGATCAAAGTTCCTGGGCACACAGAAGGCCAGAGACAAAAAGGAATCAGGATCTCGAAAAGGCAAAACTGAGGACATTCCAGGAGAGGCCTCTCGTTGGGATTCTCCCGATTCTCTCGTCAGTGAAGATCAGCTGTGGGCGGACGTCTAGGTTAATACTGGGAGAATTGGTGAATCCTAGAAGACGACTACGTCCTACATGTGTTGTGTGAAGAATACGAGATCCAGCTCAAGGCGAAGCCACCTCTCACCAAAAAGAACTCCAATGAGAAGTTCAGCCTCATCTACAACATGAAGCGTTTCAACCTATATTATCTACTAAAACCGGACTAGTTCAAGATGCTGCACTTACCACAATTGTAACATAGAATCAGACCCAACGACTACTTAGCCAGCATAGATCTACAAGATAACTACCTACACATCCCTATAGATCCGGCCTCGAGGAAGTATCTACGATTCCTATATCAAGGGTAGCACTACCAGTGGTGGGTCCTCCCCTTTGGAATTTCCTTGGCCCCGTGGCTATTTACATGAGTAACAAAACCCATTATTGTGTTTCTACATTAAAGCGGATTTCGCAGTGCCTTCTACCTAGACAACGGCATACAGGCTCATCAAGTAGCAGATCAACTCAGACGCCAACTGCTGTTTACAAACCATCTTCTAACGCAACTGGGCTGGCTAGTCAATCATATGAAGTCGGAGCTAGAGCCATTGCAGGAGCTGCAGTTCATTGGTATCAAGTTCCTCACCACAAAGAACCGCATCGTGGTTCCAGAAGACTACAACCTACACGAAGTTAGAGCATTAGCCTTGACACTCGCACTACATGGGAATTGCTATTGTCCATCATGGAAGGCTGCTTTTGGAAATCGGACACTTTGTTTGCCAACCACTATCTTTAAAACATCGCTACAGAAGATGTATCTGGTATGAATCAGTTCTGCCCTCTTGTAGTAACACAACAACTCACAGTTCCAACCAGACGATGAGAAACTCAACCTTATCATGTTGGCTTTTCTAAAATCTCATCTGTAATCGGAATGAGCAAGTTTTTCGTCTTATATGCTGCCGACAAGCTCTGTGCAAAATATAAAAGACTAAAATATGATTATCTTCCAGAGAATTTCTACCAATGACAGCAAATGATGCTGTTGTCACACAGGTGAACTGATACGTTACTGCAACTACAAAGGCTGCGTGTTTGGGTATAACTGATTGTTTTTAATAAAACTACTTCTTAAAGACGCCAAAGGCCTGCAGAATAGCGTAGCATAACATTTTGCTTTACCCACGTCGTGTAAAAAATACATTTTTAATGTTTTCAGTTGGATTGTGAAAGGTACGCAAGATTTTAAACAGATACGTTGCAAAGGAACCTAGAATTAATGGAAACATAACTTCTTCACTGCTGTATAACATACACACATGCAACCCCCTCACATTATTTAGCTCATACAGCCTCAAAATATTGATTAAAGTTTACATCTGTCTAAAGCGAACCCAGAAACAATTTTGCCAAACAGATATGTTACCCTTTATCTGAACAGGTAAACTTTTTACATTTCCCGTAGAAAATTGCAATTAAATTGCACGGTATTTGCATGTTTGGCATGAGTTCGGCGATTTGACACGTTACCAGCTGAAAAAGTTCACAGGAATATGACTTTTAATCGTTATCAAAGTATTTGTTGGGGGACTTGGATGAAAATAGGTAAGTAACAATATATGAATGTCATCACATTTCCTTTCTGGCTTACTGGGTGCTCTTTG